TCCCTCTGATCATTTTTGTGGCCCTCCTCTGGACCCTCTCCAACAGGTCCATGTCCTTCCTGTGCTGAGAACCCCAGAGCTGGATGCAGTACTCCAGGTGGGGTCTCACCAGAGCAGAGGGGCAGAATCACCTCCCTCGACCTGCTGGCCATGCTTCTTTTGATGCAGCCCAGGATATGGCTGGCTTTCTGGGCTGCGAGAGCACACTGCTGGCTTGAGTCCAGCTTTTCATCTATCAGTACTCCCAAGTCCTTCTCCTCAGGGCTGCTCTCAATCCCTTTGTCCCCAGCCTGTATTGATACTGGGGATTGCCCTGACCCATGTGCAGGACCATGCACTTGTCCTTGTTGAACCTCGTGAATTTCACACAGGCCCATTTCTCCAGCTTGTCCAGGTCCCTCTGGATGGCATCCCATCCCTCAGGCGTGTCAACTGCATCGCTCAGCTTGGTGTCATCTGCAAACTTGCTGAGGGTGCACTTGATCCCGCTATGTCATTGATGGAGATATTGAACAGCACTGGCCCCAGTACGGACCTCTGAGGGACACCACTCGTCACTGTTCTCCATCTGGACATCGAGCCATTGACCACTACCCTCTGGATGCGACCATCCAGCCAGTTTGCTATCCACCAAACAGTCCGCCCATCAAATCCCTATCCTTCCAATTTAGAGAGAAGGATGTTGTGGGGGACTGTGTCAAAGGCCTTACAGAAGTTCAGATAGATGACATCCATAGCTCTTCCCTTGTCCACTGATGCAGTCACTCCATCATAGAAGGCCACTAGGTTGGTCAGGCAGGACTTGCCCTTGGTGAAGCCATGCTGGCTGTCTCGAATTTCATTCAAATTAGACATCTATGAAAGTACTTTACTGAAAAATAAGCCTAGATGGAACTTGCACATTTGTTTTTCTTCTGCTGAAATAATTTTTATGCATTCATACTTAAAATATTTTAATATAGCTCTGGCTTTATGTATCTAATAATAGTGTTGCAGGAATTTTAGCTTAAAGATACAAGTAACCCAGATTTTGTGGGATGTGGTATATGCTTTTTAGAACATCTAATGTAGTTTGGGAAGAGGAGGAAATAAAAGAGAAACTCTTGGGTCTATAATGCCTTTCATTTAATGGCAGTGGAAACTGTTTATCAAATCAGAGGATAATAATAGACAAAACCACACAATTTGTATAAAATAATTCACATGCCTGATTATCTTGCTAACTTTGCTCTCCTTTGACACTTAATTTCAGTTCAGTTTCAGTTCAGTAAAATTGTTCTGTAAAAATCAAGATTTAATTTTGACTTCTATAGTATTAAAACTTAAGATAATAGTTTTGAGTTTAAAATTAAGAGGATTCTTCCTGAAAGTAGGTAACAATTTACATTCATAAAATAAATAATTTACATTTATATTATAAATAACAGTTTATATTTCTGTAATAAATCAGTGTAAGCTAATTATTTTCTGCTCTTTAATCAGTAGGATTTTAATAAGAGGATGCAGAATGGAGACACTTGTGCATGTGCATTGTATAACTTGATGTATGCTAAATATAATAGAACTTGAAGTAATTATTAAAATGTTTTAATATAACTCCGTATCACCCACTAATTCTAGTTGTAGGGTGAGATATGTCTCTCACTATGTGAGAAATACAGTAGAATAAAAGCAAAATTTTGACAATTGTTGTGCTGCAAATACTTAATATAATTTAAAGTGTAATGAAAATGTTGAACGACAATATTTTTGGTTAAGTGACACCAGTGCTTTGTGGAAGGTGATGATGACAGCCAGATCTTATTTTCTTTAAAAGAACTGAGTTTTTCCATCTGGTCAAGTCTCAAAGTCAAGGGCAACATTTCTTATAGATATAGGATCAGATTCAGTATTGGCTTTCAAAAAGCCTTATCCTTGTAAACTAGTAGAAGGCTACAAGTGAAGGCTCAAAATTAGACCCTGATCTTGTAAGATCATGACCATCTTCAGATACTTAGCAATTTCTTCTGAGATTGTTGTTCTTCAGCTTTCTATGCAGTGTCAAAGAGCTGGGAAGAGGAGCTGCTGGCCTTCCAGAGACTGTGCTTGTGCTTCAGTTTAATAACATTAAATAGCAGTTTTATCTCTTCCCCATGCAGATGGTAAAAGGTTGTGTGGCTATAGGAGGTGCTTAGCTTTTGGAAATTCTGTAATTCAACCAGTCCTCTGCTGTACAGACACCCCTCTATGACATCCATTGAAGTCTATTCATGAAACTCTTCTATCTTAGAGTTAAATGTTACCACTTGATTACTAAGACATTTTAAAATCGAGATGAGCTACTTAGCTTATATGACTTGCTTATCTCCTGCAAAAATCATTACTTGAAAAAGTATATAATAGGAAATAAAATATTAAAATTACACCACATACAGGGACTGAAAAGCCTACAATCTTCTAACTTAGGATGTGGGCTACACAGTGCACTTTGTTTTTTAAAAAGGAAGTACTTTTCAGTGACTAGAAATTGGAAAATAGTGTTTGTTGGCCAAAACATAAATGTACGTCTTGGCGTGATGAAGGCTGATTAAAACTGCACCAGTGCCTTCTGCTAGGAAGACAGCCAGTAAGTGACACAGTTTCAGGTGTCCAGTTGCGTAGCAGTAGCTGCCTGGGTATAACTGGAGTATTCTCCTTCCCAGATAATACCATGGCTAGCAAGAGCTAGGCCAGGCTAACGTGTCTACAAAAGTTTTGCAAGGACTGTGCTGAACAAGTTTTCTTTACAGATGGCTCATAGGTGAAACTGTGAATGCACCATCGATGTCCCTTCCACTGTTTACTTTGGTTAATACACAAAACGAAAGCTAGATTTTGAAACAAATATCAGAATTGTTTGTTTCACCATCTTAGAATATAAAGTAAGAGATAAGAATCCTGGGTGTCAATAGTTGCCCATTGTGTAGCTGGCTGAGGGCTGAATATAATATCAGGTGAGAGAGAGAGGTCTGTAATAAGCAGGAGGCTGGATACTTGCAAATAAATCATAGGTCAGTTGTGTTTTGTGCAAGATAATGTGAATCCTATGGTAATACACTTCTAAATTAAATTGACATGATGAAATATGACCATGAGGGATGCTGGAAATCTGTGAGCCTCACATTAATACTGCCTAAAGTTCATATCTCATTTAAGAATTAATGTTAGTGCTTATATACACATAGCCTTCCTGAGCAGGTCACTTGGTAATTCTAATGTGTCATTTGTTTGTTTTACTTAAGGAATCAGCTGGAGGGGATATTCAGTCTCCTTTAACGCCAGAAAGTATTAATGGGACAGATGACGAGAGAGTGATGCCGGAACTGTTGTTGCTTCCCCCTAGCAAAATTAAAAAATAAAATACGTGACTAAAAAAAAAAAAAAAAAAAAAAAGACTGGCTTTCAGATTTGCAGTATAATCTTTGTTTTCATAAAAAACATGAGGAAATCTCTTCGAATAAGATTTTGGGGGGGCGTTATTTTATAGTTTAATTAGCTGAATGTGAGCCCTTGAACACTGGTTAGCGCAGGTGTCCCTTTAACAGGAAGCATTATTTCAGTATTTGAGATCTTAGTGAAGTTAACTGCTTAGAATATTCCAGTTAAATTATTTTTGCACACATTTTCTTTAAATGACTGATAGGATTGGATGTCAGCCTTTCACTGATGAGTTGTTAGAAGAAAAGGGACTCTTACAACACTTTTGGATTATAAAATTTAAAGCAGCCTTTAATTGAACAGTTCTCTGACAGTTGAAAACATTTTTCAACTTTTTTTTGAAACATGAGAGAAGTGTAGTTCTGCTTCAGACTGAATTATAATTCATTGCACTAGGAATACTGTACTCTGTTCTTTAGGAAAACTAGCACTTTTAATTTAATGATACAAATGATGAGTTAAGATGGGTATATCTTGCCTATTAGAAATGATTGTAAATGGGACACTCAATAAAACACATTATGTACTGAGACCATGGAGAGTAACTTAAATATTTAATAAACTTAGAGCAAAGCTAGAAATACTAGATTTATTTTTTTAAACATGGTCTGAATCAGTTTAAATAGAGTTTAAGAGCTCTTGATCAAAAGTTGAGGAACACTAGGATGTCAGATATGTCATGCAAATAATTCAGAATGAGCAGAGATGGAATTGGAATTGTTCAAGACTTCTCATTTTTTGTAAGAGAATAATGCTATTAAACATATATGGAAAAAATAATTTACATTTTCAAATGAGAAAAAAAATTATACTTTTTTAGCAGTGATTGTGTTCATTTTTATACTTCAGTTGTCACCAGTGCATCTATGTCCTGGTTTCAGCACATGTAACCACGACAATCTATTACATGTTTTACAAGAAATGGTGCTTTGTAAGAGAGCTCTGTGCATGTTGAAGGAGTGTTACAAATGTTGCACATCAGTGTTCTGTAACAAGTTCATTTAAACTTACTGTTTGTGTGTTGGAATTCACTATCAATATTTTTGTGAAAAGGGGTTGTGATAAAGTCCACACAGGAGTAGTGGTGTTTGTTTTTTTTAAAAAAATGACAGCTGCAAGATCTTCCCTCTTGCTTTGCATATGTAAATATGTTTTCTGGTATGCCAATATAGTAACTATGCTTTGCTCTGCATTGACCATGACTGAAGATATTTTTTGAAACTACCCAGTTGTAATTTTTGATGGTGTAAAATAGAGGTTACAAAATTTTTACATGCTTTGCATTTTTCTATCTACTTCATGTATGCAGTGTGAGTGCCTGGTTTTAGTTTATTGTCCTGTTAAATACCACTAGCTAGAATTGGTCTTCCAACAATAACTGCATTTTGAGGGTCACTTCTCATGATGATTCTCATGAGAATCATTTGTCTTGCTAATGGAAGCTTCAAGTTTGTTAGTGAGCTATTACCAAAGAAACTGCAAATTTTTTCAAACCCTTTGAAATTTTGGACTAGATAAGGTTTTTATTATAAATAAATAAATGAAGATTCATATAGGTTACTTTTTTGATACTGAAAAGCTCAAGTGAGAACATTTATATATTATTATTTAACCCAGACAGAAAATGCTTTCAGGTGCTTTCTGACAATTTTTTCATATAAAAAAAATAAAATCCTTTTGTGTGTGTGTGAGAGTCAAGGAACTCTGTCTCAATCATAGGGAAACTACCATTTTAAAAAATGTATATTCCAAAAGATTCCAGTTATTTCCCAGGCACCATTATGTTTTTCAAGTTGATGACAGAACTTAATTTGGAAGTCAGCTGCTTTGATTGGATTTAATTGTTAGCTGTAATGAAGGCTCTCTAAAATAGCACTATGTAACACATGCATGAAAGAGATGGAAAGTGAAGCTTCCAGGATTGTGTTAGTGCTGGTTAAATGGGCATGTTTTTGTAGAGGCATTTCATAATATTGAATTGGCAACTAGGTAGACATATCTAGTTGCTTGTGCTGGCTGGAAGGGTGCTCTCTGCAGGCAGTTTGTTTGCCTTGATTTAAAATAAATAAATAAAATAAAATTAAACAAAACCTTACACCCTTATCATTGGAGACTCCCTGGGCTTTTCACGTGTCAGGGGTACAGAAAGGGATTGTGCTCCTCCTCATTCCCTGCCCTTTTGATGCTGCTGTGTATTGGTGACACTCCATGTGTGATGGAGAGGAGTTGCCACACTGAGCCCTTTCCCTGTGTGCTCTGGTAACTCCTGCCGATCGCTGAGCCTCTTCCACACCCTGCATTTCAGCAAAGTTAAAGTTTAGCCAGTGCTTCTGGGTGAGAAGGATAACGCTGGAAGGGCATGCGAGTGTTGTCTTGTGCATGGCAATGCTTTTTACGTATTTGCCTTTACTCCTGGAACTGTTGATCAATCGCTAGGCGCTTTTCAAAAGAAAAGATGGTGTGGTCTTCCCTCCAATGAGTTCAGCTATAGGGGACATGAGAGTTGCTGAGGCTGGCCATGCTTCACTGAAATAACACTAGCGTAACAAGTTCATTTCTTCTATGATTAGGAAAGCTATATTCTGCTCTGGTGTGACAGTATATACTTACCTTGTGAAGGTCCAAAAGGAGTGGTCCTCAGTGTAGGCTGGAGCACAGGGAAAGGCGTGCGTGGGGCTACCTGGCAGGAGCCCAGCCCAGGCAGCCATGAGGCAAAGGTTGGAGCTTCATGGACAGGACGAGGTGCCACACCACTGCATAGTGAGGATGGCTGGTGAGGTGGGAGCTGCGTTGCTGCCAAGAGGTTCGGCAAGCTTAGCTGAGTGCGGGCACCTCTGCAGCAGAGGACAGGAGTAAAGGTTTGAAGGGTGTTGTTGTCAAGACAGTGATCTAGGGAAGAGGTTTTCATGTCAGTATGAACTGGAAGGATCTGACAGGAGTTAACAAGGTCAAAATGAGAGGTGTGGAGGTCATGCTTTAGTCTACATCTTACTACTTGTCATTTTTAATCTGCACACACCGAAAAATGTTCAATTTCATTTTGTTATAACACATCCTCTCTGGCCAGATATGTCCTCTTCTGCAAGCATTCTTCTCTGTGCTTTGTATGTCTTAGTGTAGGTAGTTGGGGGCTGTGTTATTTAAGCAGCGTAAGTGTAGACTACTTTGGTATTTATAGTTATTTTCTGACCATTTATACCCAAAAGCTGAAAAAAAGCATTACTTAAGTCACCAGAGTTTTGTTATTAGATCTTTAATTTTTTATTATTTCAGTAAATAATTGTAAGTATTGAAATGAACATTCTCCAGTATATGTCTACAATCCTATTCATATCCCATGAGCATAATAGAGCAAAAGTCTAGTTGGTTCAATTTATCCTTATCTGGAAAGTCCTAATGCTGTTCACAAGCAGTGTGACTCTAGTCAACTGCTTGAGAGATAAGGATATTAAATGGTTATGAACCTTGCACGGAAAGATAAACTCTTGCAAGTAAACCTCTTGCCTTTTTTAAACTATGATGGTTAATGTTGAATTATGAAGTAATATTACTTGGGAACTCCCACATCTTATAATATAGCCTGAGCACTGCTCTCATTAGTAAACATTGCCAAAACAAATGAAAGTAAAATGTAACCTAAGCCTGGCATTAGAATTTTTAAGTCTTGGCTGAGAGACTGATCGAGTCTGATTTTTCTGAACGATGGCTAGTCCAGGAAGGCTTTTTTCTAACAAAAGCTAGTTAATAAAATCTAATATTTAAATTAATTAAGACTAAAAAAAAGTGTGTATTTTCTTAACTAAGTCTTAGTTTCCTCAGACATCTTCCTTTTTTTTAAAGTATTTTCCACATTCTTTAAATTGTGATTTCCCCCCCCATCTAAAAAAAGTTGACCATAAAAAGGCATTTGGAGAGAAAAATGTTGCTAAAAAATTTGTAACCATTTCCAATGTGACTGCACCTGGCTTTTAAATGTAAGTTTTAATCCTGCTGGTGCACAGTATACAATTCCTGATTGCCTGAATGAGCCCAAAGAAATACTATACTGAGCTTATTTAGCCTTAGAATATAATTCAAATATTAAAGCTGAATACTGTGTCTGATGAACTCTGCAACTGCTGCTTGGGGCTTTTTGGTAACTGTTTGGTGAGCTTGCTCTTTTGCCTTTGAAGAAAATACATTTTTTATAACAAGTTTTATTCCATTTTTGGCACCTCATGACGCTGTGGGATAAAACACTTTCAGAAACAAAACTTAAAATAAGAGGATTCTTCTGGGACAAATCTTGAAAGTCTTCAACTTTCTGTCAACTGTGACTTGTACCTTTTACCTAATTTTTTCATGTAATACATAAAGATGCTCCATCTAAATTTAATGAAACTTGGAATTTCTATTACATAATGTTTTGATTAGACAATATATGTTTGTTGCTTGTTCATTAAAATTCCTATTTTTATATTCAAACAAGTTTTTAATATGAAATTTTGACTCATTGCCTTAGTGAAAATGGACTTATTTCAAATACCTATATATTAGGGTGGCTACAAGCTCTTTAGAAGGGACAGGCTAGGAAGGAGAGGTGGAGGGGTAGCCCTGTATGTTAGGGAGTGTTTTGACTGTCTAGAGCTCAACGACAGTAACGATAAGGTTGAGTGCTTATGGGTTAAGATCAGGGGGAAGGCTAACAAGGCAGACATCCTGGTGGGAGTCTGTTACAGACCACCCAACCAGGACGAGGAAACAGATGAAGTATTCTAGAAGTGGTTGGCTGAAGTCTCACAATCCCTAGCCCTTGTTCTCGTGGGAGACTTCAATTTACCAGATATCTGCTGGAAATACAACACAGCAGAGAGAAAGCAGTCTCGGAGGTTCCTGGAGTGTGTGGAA